TTTTAAAAGGAATGACTGTAAGGTCACAAAAATTCAATGAGCTATATATACTTATGATTTGAGCATTTTTAATATATGTATTTCACTAAAATGCTACAAAAATGGCATGACTTTATATTCTAAGATATAGACACATACACAAAATTAGAACTGAATATTTATCAAGTTTCTTAAAGTAAAGGATAAAAAATTTCCGAGGAAAAGTTGACGATATAGAAGTGGAAAAGATCAAGAGACTTAAAAATTAAAAATTGATATGTCAAAAAAGGAGTATTAGTAAAAAAAACCCAGACAACAGGCTAGAGAATATACTTGTAGTATATATGGCAAGAAACTAATATGTTGATTATATAAAACAAATTCACACAAATTGGTCATAAAATATAAGATTTCATTTGATAAATGGGCAAAAGACAAGAACAATTGACAACAGAAAAATATAAATAAGTGGGAAATTTTCTGCTACATTAAGAATCAAAATGGTATGCATTGAAAATGTCAAAGAGGTGACTTTGTTTTAACTTCTTAGAATTTACTGTATTCTTACAGTGTAGATGTTTGCAATAGCAAACTGCTGTAAGTGGCCAACATATGCCCCTACCCCACCACTGGGGATTGGTTAAATAATTTATAGCTCATCAATACCGTGGAACACTGTGTTGTTTATGGTCCACTGGCACTTAGTGTCTAGTTCTACCCCTTTCCACGTTCTTTCCTACCTACAGTGGCTCTAAAACTGAAAACTACTTTTCTCGAACTCCCTTGCAGTCAGGGTTCTGGGTGAAAATCTGGTTCTACCAATGAGAAGCACGGGTGTGAGCTGTGGAAACTGGAAGTGAAGTGGAAGCCTCCGTCTTCATCCTGAGCGGCCAGCTCATCAGTGTGTGCAGCCAGACTCAGCATTCCAGTGTCTAGTTATTAATATCAGCTCTGTCATTATCCAGAGGCACTTGCCCCAATGCAGCAGCCAGCGACTAGTCACCAGCTCGGAGGGAACTGAGGCTGCCGCGGGCTGGGGCAGGCGAAGCAGCAGCAACTTGCTGACCTTGGGATCACAGGCATGTGCCCAGGAAATCAGTGTCCAGTAGCAGACCCCTGTCTTCTGCTCCTTCAAGTCATCCAACGATTTGCGTGTGTGGTAAAACACACACAACAGTTATCATTTTAACCATTTCTAAGTATATAATTCAGTGACATTAAATACATTCATACTGTTGTGCAACCATTACTACTATTCATCTCCAGAACTTTTCATCGTCCCAAACTGAAATTCTATACCCAATAATAAACAATTACTCCCCATTCTCCCCCCAGCCCAGCCCCTAGGAACCTCTATCCTACTCATGGTCTATGAATTTGCTTACTCTAGGTACTTCATATAAGTGGAATCACACAGCATTTTACCTTCTATGCCTGGCTCATTTCACTTAGCACAATGTCTTTAAGTTTCATCCTTGTTGTAGCATATAGCAAAATTTCATTCCTTTTAATGTCTGAATAATATTCCACTGTAGTAGATACCTAAGAGGTAACATTTTTATATCCATTCGATTAGGAAAAAAGTTATTTTTATATGATATTACCCAGTGGTTGCAATATTGTGAAAGTGAATCACTCTTATACTGCTGAGGCAATGAATATTGCTACCTCAGTAAGGAAAAAAGTATTCAGATCCACTAATCATACTTCTAGGAATTTATCCTGAGAAAATAATCCAACAGATTTGGGAGGGAAAAGCCCCACAATGTGTATGAAGAGGTATATAACGCATTATTTGTAATAATGCAATTTTGGAAATAATGTAGAATTCCTTCAAAGGCAGAATAAAGTATGTTTAATTCAACTGATAAGAGTATTAGGAAATCATCACAAATTATAATTTTGAAGCACATACAGCACCATGGAAAAATCCTATAATAATTTTAAGTAACAAAAGCTATAAAAGCATGATCAGAATTATATTAAAATATGTACATGCAGAAAAAGTTTAGATGAGGAAGAGACAAAATGAGAGGTAAGGTTGGATCTAGGTTTTTAAAGTTTTTTGCTTTGCATTTCTACAAACTTTTCATACACTAACATTATTTTCATTTTTTTAAAAAGTCAGAGTAGGGTCAAGGCAAGCCATGTTTCTTCTATAATGCAAGTGAGTTCTCAGCAAGCTGACCAGAAGACAGACAAATGCCTTGTCTGAACCTTCCAGGACACACGCTATCCCCAAGTCACCCATGCCTGGCCACATATTTCTGCCCAGCCAGGAAGATCCCATTGCTCAGGATCAGAGAGTCATGACAATCTCAAAAAAACACTCACAAGAAGGGGCAAAGGAGCAGGGCGCCTGGCAGTTCCACATGGGAGCTGTAGGAAAGACAACGTCTGAGGGAAGAAGACAGCTGCTGGGAACGCTAAGTGAACTCGTGGTCTTCCCTAAGGCCTCATCTGACTCCTGACACAAAGATCCATGTCTATAAATGTGGATCCAATTACACTGTTCTACTTAAAACCTTGTGATGTCACCTGAGGCCTATCAAAGTCTAAGCTCCTCCCCGGCATTCAAGGTCTTTTGAAATCTGGCCCCAACGTATCTTTCTAGCATGATCTATCACACACCATTAAACATCACTGACCTCTGGTTCACAGGTCCTCAGACATGAGATATGAGTTCCCTGCCTCCGAGCCTTTCTTTACACTCCACTTTTCCTTCTCATCCTTTGGGGCCCAGTTCACCTCCTGTCTCCCTTACTCTTGGGCAGACTTCCTCACTCACTCCGCTATGCCCCTAGAGAATTTTTTTACACTTATCCCAGCGTTTCACTGAGTGATTTAACATGCAAGCTCTCTGTGGCCCTACAACATGTCTTATTTATCCCTGAAGTCCAGGAATGAAGGCAGAGCTGGCATTGACAATGCCTATCTGATTTGTCTTTGGGGCAGTATGTTCTAAGTCCAGATTATGCCAAGCATTGAAACCCTAGTACAACATAGACATGCATTAATAATTAACAAAGAAATGACATCCCTCATGCAGAACAAACGATACAAATCAACTGTACTCTAGCCACACTGATCTGGCTGTTTCCTGAACATAACAGGCACTTCTCATGTCAGCACACTGCACTAGCTGCTCTCTCTGTCTGGAATGCTCTTTCCCAGACATCTGCATGGCTCATTGAATTGGCTCCTTTGGGTTGTAACTGAAATGCCCCCTTCTCAGAGATGCCCTCCCTAACCATTTCATCTTAAATTACAATCCTGACCCCTGCCTTCACTACTTTTTATCCCCTTCTTCTGCTTTGTTTTTCTTAGCACTTACCACTTCTTGACATATTATAATTTTGCTTATTTATTTTGTTGTCTGCCCCACCCCCATCAAAATAGAAGTCCTGCTACTTGGTACCTAGAATCGTCTTCAGCACATGTAAAGCTTGATAAATATTTGTTGAGTGAAAGAATAAATGAGTAAATAATGGATATAGTATTTGAACCAATTCAACAGTCCAGGGTTGATTTCAAGATCTAAATATGGGTTTCAAGAAATGTAAGAACTATCTCACTCACATTCTCACCATTCCACACCACCCACACTTGACCACCACACCCCAAACTCCCAGGGCCTTGATGCAGTGAGTCTTCTCATCACCCCCTCCTGCAAATACCTGTGTATCACTCACCTTGCTGCCTTGCATTAGAATTTTTTATGTCCAAGTTGTAGGTTGCCACAGGGAAATAACTCTAAGTAATGTTTCTTAAACATTTTTAGGATCTTGGACACTTTAGAGAATTTGATGAAAGGTTTTGATCCTCTCTCCAGAAAAACATATATGAACAAAATTTTACATTGTGTCTATGGTGACACACAGACTTACTAAAGCCCACTTTCAGGCTCTATGTCACTTGGGTTCACTTAATAAAATTAACATATAATGGGAGGAGATAGAGCTTCCTGACTCACAAGGAGCAGAAATATAACTGTGGCAGTTACACCCCCCATGAAGGGCCTTTCTGTAGGCCACCGAAAAGGGAGGGGCAGGAAAGCAAACCCAGAAACCTGGGCCCAGTCCATCCTGCACTAGGGGGAAGAGGAGGACGGGTCTTGGTAGATAGCACATTTCAGCCATTTGAGACTATTCTCTGCAGCAGGAGCCCCCCTCGGGCTCAGATGAAATGTGCCTCTAAACGACTTTCTTTTTGCTCTAATTCTGTGCTTACAATGCAGTCTTCTGACTTGGCATTCCAGATACACCCTGTTCTGCTGAGTTATTTCAATGTGAATTAGCTCATACATAGTTGGTATGTAGATGATGTCAGTATTAGGCAAAAGTTGTGTTGCTTTGTGTGTGTGTTTTTCCCAGCTTGATAACATTTTGAAGTGGCCAGGGTCAAGCTTTCTCACAATTAAAGAGAAAGCCCTTAACTATACATGAAGGCCTAAAGAAAAGAGCTAAAAATCCTATAGAAATGCCCTCCTTCAGTGCAAGCAGTGGCTATTTAGTAGCTTCAAGAACCACTATACTCGGGCTGGGTGAGGTGGCTCATGCCTGTAATCCTAGCACTCTGGGAGGCCAAGGCGGGAGGATCACTTGAGGTCAGAAGTTTGAAACCAGCCTGAGCAAGAAAGAGACCTAACTGTACTTAAAAAAAAAAAACAAAACAGAAAAAAAAAATTAGCCAGGCAACTAAAAATAGAAAAAATTAGCTGGGTGTAGTGGCGTGCACCTATAATCCCAGCTACTGGGGAGGCTAACGCAGGAAGATTGCTTGAGCCCACGAGTCAGGTTGTTATGACCTAGGCCGATGCCATGGCACTCTAACCTGGGCAACAGAGAGAGACTCAGTCTCAAAATAAATAAATAAATAAATAAAAAGAACCACTATATTTTGTATCAAGCCACCTGGAGAAGCTGAGAGTACAAATGAAACAAAGATGTATCCTCCATGTTAATTTTTTTTTTTTGTCTCATAAAGAAGTTTGTACCGGGAGTGGCGCGGAACTGCTGGAGGTCTTGAGAACCTGAGTTGCGGCCAGCCGGGTCTGGAATCTAATATTTAAAAAATGACCACTCCAAACAAAACACCTCCTGGTGCTGACCCAAAGCAGCTGGAAAGGACTGGAACAGTACGGGAAATTGGGTCACAAGCTGTTTGGTCACTTTCATCTTGCAAACCAGGATTTGGAGTGGATCAATTACGAGATGACAATCTAGAAACTTATTGGCAATCAGATGGCTCCCAGCCTCATTTAGTGAACATTCAATTCAGAAGAAAAACAACAGTGAAGACATTATGTATTTATGCAGACTATAAATCTGATGAAAGCTATACTCCAAGCAAGATCTCAGTCAGAGTAGGAAATAATTTTCACAATCTTCAAGAAATTTGGCAACTGGAATTGGTGGAACCAAGTGGCTGGATTCACGTTCCCTTAACTGATAATCATAAGAAGCCAACTCGCACATTCATGATACAGATTGCTGTTCTAGCCAATCACCAGAATGGAAGAGACACCCACATGAGACAAATTAAAATATACACACCAGTGGAAGAGAGCTCCATTGGTAAATTTCCTAGATGTACAACTATTGATTTCATGATGTATCGTTCAATAAGGTGACTTTAAAGTGGAATACAAGTCATTAAACGTGTCTTTGTTTTATCTTGTTCTTAAATATTATATCAGGTATCTTTAAAAAAAAAAAAAAAAAGAAGTTTGTACCCAAGATCAGAGTTTTTAGTTTGATGAAACTGGTTTCTAATAGAAGCAGAGGAAAAACAATAGCCCCAGGGTTTAAGACTGCAAAGAGCTATCATGCTGGGTACAGACATCAGTGGAAATTTAATTTTAGTAGAATTGTTACTGTTTTTATTAATGCTCTGCTTACAAAGTCTCATAGGCTTTGAGTAGTTTGCTCCAACCTTATTCTTCCTATAAACCCTGTTACTTTTCATGAGCATTTGTTATAGGATGTAAAATTTTACAGTACCACATACAAAGTTTAATAGCAAAAAATGCCTGTACCTCAGTATATAGAAAAGAGGGTGTCCTGGGTGCCATGTATGAATATTCTCATTATTGGAAAGGGATCTAGAATCCCTACTGTAAATAAATAAATAAATAAATAAAAAGAACCACTATATTTTGTATCAAGCCACCTGGAGAAGCTGAGAGTACAAATGAAACAAAGATGTATCCTCCATGTTAATTTTTTTTTTTTGTCTCATAAAGAAGTTTGTACCGGGAGTGGCGCGGAACTGCTGGAGGTCTTGAGAACCTGAGTTGCGGCCAGCCGGGTCTGGAATCTAATATTTAAAAAATGACCACTCCAAACAAAACACCTCCTGGTGCTGACCCAAAGCAGCTGGAAAGGACTGGAACAGTACGGGAAATTGGGTCACAAGCTGTTTGGTCACTTTCATCTTGCAAACCAGGATTTGGAGTGGATCAATTACGAGATGACAATCTAGAAACTTATTGGCAATCAGATGGCTCCCAGCCTCATTTAGTGAACATTCAATTCAGAAGAAAAACAACAGTGAAGACATTATGTATTTATGCAGACTATAAATCTGATGAAAGCTATACTCCAAGCAAGATCTCAGTCAGAGTAGGAAATAATTTTCACAATCTTCAAGAAATTTGGCAACTGGAATTGGTGGAACCAAGTGGCTGGATTCACGTTCCCTTAACTGATAATCATAAGAAGCCAACTCGCACATTCATGATACAGATTGCTGTTCTAGCCAATCACCAGAATGGAAGAGACACCCACATGAGACAAATTAAAATATACACACCAGTGGAAGAGAGCTCCATTGGTAAATTTCCTAGATGTACAACTATTGATTTCATGATGTATCGTTCAATAAGGTGACTTTAAAGTGGAATACAAGTCATTAAACGTGTCTTTGTTTTATCTTGTTATTAAATATTATATCAGGTATCTTTAAAAAAAAAAAAAAAAAGAAGTTTGTACCCAAGATCAGAGTTTTTAGTTTGATGAAACTGGTTTCTAATAGAAGCAGAGGAAAAACAATAGCCCCAGGGTTTAAGACTGCAAAGAGCTATCATGCTGGGTACAGACATCAGTGGAAATTTAATTTTAGTAGAATTGTTACTGTTTTTATTAATGCTCTGCTTACAAAGTCTCATAGGCTTTGAGTAGTTTGCTCCAACCTTATTCTTCCTATAAACCCTGTTACTTTTCATGAGCATTTGTTATAGGATGTAAAATTTTACAGTACCACATACAAAGTTTAATAGCAAAAAATGCCTGTACCTCAGTATATAGAAAAGAGGGTGTCCTGGGTGCCATGTATGAATATTCTCATTATTGGAAAGGGATCTAGAATCCCTACTGTAAATAAATAAATAAATAAATAAAATACTCATGGGATTTTGGTCAGGGTCAGCCTGTCACCTGTAGTCTGATAATCTCTGGGTATGCTATCTACCTCTAGATCTGAGGACCAGACCTTCTGGACCAGAAGTCAATTAACAGAGGGCCACCTGAAAGTCCAGTCAACAGTCAGCTGCCCCCCTAGAAAACACTGCCACCAGCACACATCTCTTGCTCCTGGAAAAGATCCCTGCTACACTGTTCTTTGAAAGTAGAATTCCTACCTGATTATTGTTGCTTGGGGCCCAGCACAGTGTGCTGCACTAAGAGCTCAGTACATATTTGGGGAATAGATAAAAGGCAGTAGCTTCATTAGGATTGACTTTAGAGCTTTAAGATTGGGGTTCAAATATTGGTACATGTAAAAAGGGTCAAGTTACTACAGCAGTTCTATCTTACTATCCCAGTGTCTTCCCAAAGAACTGGTGGTACACTGAAAACAATGCCCCAATTACGTTTATTGGGAGTAAGGATGGCAGGCATTTATCAATTTCAGGCTGTCCAGCACCCATCTCCCTTCTTATCAGAACCTACTTCCTTTTGGCAAGCTCCTTCTTCCAGACTATGTATAGTACTGGTATAAGGATAGCTCCAGGTACACACCTTTGCCTTCAGAAGCAAATGGGGGCCAAACCTCTTTTCCCACCCCCGGCAGAGTGTGTAAGTGGGACCATGCCCTAATCCTGGCTAGTCAAATCCCCTTGATCTTGAGAAAGTGATGCAAGGATGACAAGCAGTGTGGCACACACCAACATGTATCCCATCCTACATGCTCCTCTTATGTAGCATGTCACTTCTCTATCAGGAGGTGAAGTCTTTATTTCCTTGCCTCGAACCTGGTAGGACCCTTTAAATCAACAGAATACAACGGAAGTGACAGTCACAAAAGGCACTAAAGCTTCCACCTAGGTCTCTTAGATTGTTCCTTCTGAGAAGAGCCAGCTGCTATGCACAAGGACACTCAAGTAGCTCTGTGGAGAGACCCACTTGGACAAGAACTGAGGTCCCCTATCCCCCAGCCAGCACCGACTTGTCAGCCATGAGAGCGAGCTGGCTTGGAAGTGGATCCTCTAGCCCAGTCAGGACTTCAGATGATGGCAGCCCAGCTGACATAAAACTGCAACTGCATGAGAGTCCTGAAGCAAGAACCCAGTTGAACCCTTCCCGAATTCCTGACCAGCATGTACTAAGAGAGATGGATGATTATTTGTTACTTTAAGCCATAAAGTGTTGAGGTGATTTGTTACACAGCATTAGATAGCTAATACATTGGTAGGGGGTAATTTTATTAAGGACGGAATGGCAGGAGAGGTGACAGTGGCGATAGCTAAGGAAGAGGCTATGCCAGCGCAGGACTGCCCAGTCTGTCCTGACTACAAACTGATAACTGTCTGGAATCCTGTTTCCAGCTTGGAGGGCTCCCTTATTCCCACCTATTCCTGAGCCTGGTCTCCCATCAATTTTATGGGTCCCTCCAACTGCCATCACCCTAACATTCCAATAAACCCTGATTAATTTATCCATATTGTGCTTAAATTATCTAGAATTAGTCTCTATTGCTCACAACCAAGAACCTTAACTGACATAGGCAGTTACCACAGTTGAATATTGGCCAAGGTTGAGTGATAGTGGAAAAAAGGCAAAGCAATAAAGAGGAAAAAAGAGTAGATAATAATATAATATAGAGTCAAACCAAGTATATATAGGTTGATCCAAAGTAAGCAAAAATGGAACCTACAGAAATGAAAAGTTTAATAATAGTAAGAGCAAACACTTACACGGCACTTGTTAAGTGCCACATGTTATAAGCACTTTATCTGATCTTCAGAGCAACATGATAAGGAAGTAGTATTACTATTATCCCTTTTTGCAGAGCAGAAAACAGAAGCACACAGAGGTCCAAAAACTCTGCCTGAGCTCAGGCAGTCTGACTCCAGGGTACCTGCACCTCCCCACTATGCTCTCACGTCTAGAGAGGTTTTAGGACACTAAGGAAAGGACGGGCTTCGTAGTACTGCCTGTATTGGCTCTCAAAAATGACCTATGGTTGAATCCGGGGACTTTTATCTAGAACAGCATTCAATAAACACTAGCTGATCAAATGCCCATTTGTTGAATTGAATGACCTGTTACCTTTCTCTGATGGTGAAGGCAAATCACCCTGAAAAACTGGAAGTCTGCATTTATGGGAGAGACTAGATTCCTAAGATTAGGATTATAAATATGTAACCATTGTAGCTACCCACAGGATCTTGACAGATGTAAGGATGAATTTGGCTAAGCATAGACGTTCCCCATTCTCAGAAGTCTAGTATCATTTCTCCCCATCCTTTCCAGGCTCCCCGCTCCATTAGCTCCTTACCCCAAGGCCACACCCTTGTTACCTGTGCCGAGCTTAGCAAAGACCTGCATGGACTCATCAAAACGCTTCTGGCAGAAGAGGTTGAAGGCATACAAGTTCTTGATGTGATGGATTTGTTGCTGCTTTTCACTGTCAGAGTCATCTTTCATTTCCTAATAAGAGTAGAATAGGCAAGAGCTCAGTCACTCAACAAATATTTACTCAGTATGTTCTAAGTGTCAGACAAGATCCTGGGACCCACAGATGCCAAAGTGTACAAGACAGCCACATGGTGTCCGCCCTCGCAGATTGCCCTTACAGTCTAACTGTTAGTAAGACTGCTAAGTAACTATGCAATTAAAATACAACAAGGTCTCTAAGAAGTGCCTAACCTGTACTCCCGAAAGCTGTCACGGTCATGAAAAACAAGGGAAGATGAAGAAACTCTGGAAGACCAGAGGAACTAAGGACACATGACAACTAAATGCAATGTGATTCTGGATTTGATCCTGGAGAGAAAAAAAGGGCATTAATGGAAAAATGGGCCAAATCTGAATAGTCTAGAGTTTAGTTTAAAACAAAAAAATCAAAACAAAACAGGGTAAAAGTGATGACAGAAGCATGTGGGAGGAGTCCCCAATCCAGTCTGAGTGGGGGGTCTGGGATGGGTTCCAAAAGGGACCTAAATTGAGATGTAAAGGGTGAGCTGGAGTTAGCCACGAACACAAGGCTGGGCATGTGACTGAAGG